TCATTCCATCAGACCTGAAGAGGTGTTTTCTTTCCCAGAAGAGGTCAAAGTTGACCACAAAACTCACAGAGTGGTCATCACAGGACKTTTCCAAAGAGCCATTAAGAGCCAACAGTCTGCTGAACCTCTCAGCTCCTCCTCTGGCTGTAGGAAYGTGCCCACTGAGGAACACATCCATGTTGAGATTTTTAACTGCATTCAGCAGCAGAATAAAATGCTTCTTCAGGATTTCTGACTGTCGGTTCATAACTTCATCACTTCCTGTATGAATGATAATGACATAAACTCAGAATAGTCAGGCAATGAGTGGAACTGGTTAACCAAAACACAGGAGGCAGATGAAAAAGGTAAGTGATTTTATTTACAAGTGCTGGGAGAAAATGTACAAGTCCGGATCTGAAAAAAAGGGGAAGAGTCCAGGTGAGTCTTCTTCAATGAGGATAGGATCATGAATGATAAATATCTTTATGTAATGAAAATTCTTTCTTACATGTTCTRGAAGAATGAGTTGGCTTTGAGGTGAGGTTTCCTTTGAGAGGTTCAAAAGTTTCTTCAGGCAGAGTGGCATAAACAATCCTCCTTGGTTCCTTTAGATGGTTTCCTGGGCAGACCAAAAACTCCAGATGATTCAATGACAGAGGTCTCCTTAAAGAGCAAAAAACATTCAGGTTAGCAAAGATAACTTTAAAACTTTCAATAACTATAGTGGCTAGAGCACTACAAAAATGGTGTTATGCATCAGCAAGGACTTGTCCATCTGGAGTCACTTTTAAAGCCCAGGCTGTCATCAGGCAGATTGCAGGCAGGTGGTGCAATTAGAAGCAGGAACCAAGCAGAAAGTGAATAGCAAAAACCTCCAATCATCACAGTACCCTCCCCCGACGATTGCCTCCTGGCAATCTCAAACGCTTCTCAGGATTGTCTCTGTAGAAGGTGGAGATGAGGGAGGGATCGAGGATGAGGGCTCTCGAGATCCAAGACCGTTCCTCTGGACCATAACCCTCCCAATCGACGAGGTACTGTAGGCCACGCCCACGTCATCTGACTTCCAAGATGTTGTTGACCGTGTGGGCTGGTTGATTGTCGATGATCGGGGGGGGGGGAGGTTGGAAGGTGGGCTCAGGGGACTGTTGGAAACTGGCTTGATCTGGGACACATGAATAGTAGGATGTATTTTCATAGATGAAGGGAGTGAGAGACATACCGCAGAGGGATTTATGATGTGTTCCACTGGGAATGGTCCAATGAACCGGGGAGCCAGTTTTTGAGTAGTATCCTTCAGTTGAATATCCTTAGTTGACAACCACACTTGTTGACCAAMTCTATAGGCAGGTGCGGTAGAACGATGCTTGTCAGCCATTTTATTCTGCTCTGCCATCCGTAAGAGCGCCTCCTTAGTTTGCCTCCAGAAACGGCGACACCTRCRGACATGATGCTGGACAGACGGAACTGCACATTCTGTTTCGATACTGGGAAATAGAGGAGGGTTATACCCCAGTGAAGCTTCAAAGGGTGACATGCCAATGGCAGATGAGGTATGTGTGTTGTGAGCGTATTCAATCCAGGTTAGATGCTGGCTCCAATTGGAAGGGTTACTACTCACAACACAGCGCAGAGYGGCCTCCAGCTCCTGGTTACTTCTCTCGGTTTGCCTGTTGGATTGGGGATGGTAACCAGACGATAGACTAACAGTCGTTCCTAGGACTTTGCAGAATGCCTTCCAGACTTGAGAAATGAACTGTGGTCCTCGATCAGAAACAATGTCCGTTGGTATGCCATGGATTCTAACAACATGTTGGACCAGCAGGCGAGCCATCTCCATTGCTGTAGGGAGTTTGGGCAGAGATACAAAATGTGCAGCTTTAGAAAAACGGTCAACAATAGTCAATATGACAGTGTTACCTTGGGAGAGAGGTAGACCGGTAACAAAATCCATGGCTATGTGCGACCATGGGTGAGTAATGGTTGCAACAGTCCCGCAGGAGGTCGATTGCCACTCTWATTTCTGGCGCAGGTAGGACAGGCTGCCACAAACTCCTTGATATCAGCTGACATAGRAGGCCACCAAAAATATCTCGAGGCAAGCGCAGTCATGCRAAAAACCCCAGGGTGGCATGAAAACTGACTAGAATGTAACCAGTCCAATACTTTGGCTTTAACAGACGTAGGAACAAAAGTCTTACCAGGAGGTCCTCCCCCCGGGTCAGGTTTGGTTTTAAGAGCCTCCTGGATTTCACTTTCTATGGCCCATGTAACGGATCCCACAAAGCATGTAGGAGGAAGGATGTTGTCCTCATTCTTAGGACTCTCAGTGTCAGAAAACTGACGGGAGAGGGTGTCAGGCATGACATTCTTGGTTCCCGGTCTGTAGGTAATAACAAAGTTAAAACGGACAAAAAACAGGGACCAGCGGGCCTGACGGGGATTTAATCTCTTGGCAGTTTGAAGATATGACAGATTTTTGTGATCCGTCCAAATTATGAACGGCAGGTCAGTACCTTCAAGCCAATGATGCCACTCCTCCAGTGCCAATTTAATGGCCAGCAGTTCCCGGTCCCCCACATCGTAGTTCCTTTCAGAGGGAGTGAGTCGACGTGAGAAAAAGGCACAGGGGTGGATCTTGTTGTCAGCAGAGGATCTCTGTGAAAGAACTGCTCCCACGCCAGAAACGGAGGTATCCACTTCCACAATAAACTGTTCAGTGGGGTTAGGGTGTCTTAGGATCGGGGTGGAAACAAAACGAGCCTTTAACTCACCAAATGCCGTATCAGCTTATGCAGTCCACTTGACAGTC